CCTGAGATCATAACCTGAGCCGAAGTCAGACACTTAACCAACTGAGCCACCCAGGCACCCCTTGACTTGCTTTAAAAAAATAAAAGGTAGCTCCAAAACCTTAGCAGATCTGATCGAGGGAGAAAATCACATGTAACACATGCACATTAGGAATAAGAAAAAATTACAACTACCGATTATGAAAATAAAACATTTTGCAAGGACTTCTGTATAACAAACGGTATCATAAACACAATTAAGAAACAATACACAGGGCGCCTGGGTGGCTCAGATGGTTAAGCATCTGCCTTCGGCTCAGGTCATGATCCCAGAGTCCTGGGATCGAGTCCCGCATCGGGCTCCCTGCTCCTTGGGAGCCTGCTTCTCCCTCTGCCTCTCTCTCTCTCTCTGGCTCTCATGAATAAATAAATAAAATCTTTAAAAAAAAAAAAGAAACAATACACAGGTGTGAATATTTCCAATATACATAATGGGAAAAGGGATAAATAACCAGAAAATATAAAAAAAAAAAAAAATGCTAAAAATCAGTAAGAAAAAAAAAAAAACAAGCAACCCAGAAAATGGGCAAAGAAAAAGAACAGGCCATTCACAGAAAAAGAAACTAAGTGACCAGTAAATAAATATAAGATGCTCTACCTCAGAGAAATCCGGGCAATGCAGCCAAAAACAAGATACCATCACTCATCCATCATTTCGCAAAAAGCAATAATTTAAATTAACTAGCAAGTATCTACAAGGATGTGGAGGAACAAAAAACTCACATATGCCTGTTGATGGGAATATAAATTGATAAAACCACTGTGAAGAGCCAAAAATACAAGTAACTCTCTTCCAGTTAACCAGAGATCTGAATAAACATCCTTCTCTGCTACCTCCCAAAATTCCACTAAAAAAAAGGAATACAAATTTAAAAGATGTAAATGCACAAGGAGAAAGACAATGGGAAACAACACAATAGCATACAACAGGTTTCAGAAATTTTCTAAAAGATGAGAAGTGGATGAATGAAGCAGAGAGAGAAAGCTGAAAATCTGACTGCCTAAAGGGGAGGAGCTAACAAAATGTAAGGCAAATTATCCCAGAGAAGCCAGGAAGGATCTGAATTAAGAAACATAAGGTACCACTCAAGAAAGGAATTTAGTGTGAGCCTGGGAACAGAAGGTATGGTTGAAAATCTTTGGAAGAAACCTTCAGGCTCCCACCTCCTGTACTCTGAGAAAAATGTTAGGGATATGAAGCACAGCTAAGGTGGGGATCAAGCTAAGTGGGGAGGAGGATGAGGCCTGAGAGGCTATGGTCGGGAGTGCTAATTGCCTGCATCATTCTCTCTCCTTCTTCCTTACTAATGGAACCCCAGATTTCAGGTGGGTATATGGCTGCCATTAATAAAAACTTCCTTTTCTATCCTACCCTTCTAGGAGACGTGGATATATGTTAAGAGCCAATAACATATGAGCAGGGTGCTGTGGGGCAGTTTCTAGGAAACATTCTGGAAACTGAGCCCTCTGCCTCCTTTCTCCCTTCTTTCCTATTATCTGAAACCTGGGGATGACTACTATCTGGGCCTTGAGAATGACGACTCTAGGTTTCACAGAGCAGATAGCTGGAAGACAACTGAGCCTGATGAACTTCACAGACCCACTATACCAGCCCCAGACGACCAGAACTACTATCCACCAACTTTTTACAGAGGAATACAATCATAATTTAACTCACTGATAATTTAAGATCTCGTATATGCAGCTAAATCCAACCCTAATACAGGTGTCACACTAAACCAGATAAAAGACTGCATGTATGATGGCCGAAATCCCCAACCTCCATTCCCCTTGATCAAATTTCAAAAAGCTGACAACCAGGCTTTTTCATGGAAGGAGACTGGAAGCTTTCTCTCTCAAAAAACCTAATTGCCACAAAAGACACAGACACTGATATCTGAAGTTTCCTTCACCAAAAAGCATGGTTCCTCTCTGATCACCCTAAAGTTTACCAAAGCTCTTCTAATCAATTTTTAGTTAAAGCCACTTTGTAATGGATGATGTTCATTCTCAATGATACTCATAAATGTATATTTTAGGAAATTTTAATACGAGTTAGTAATGATAAAAAAAGCAAGTCCATCACTGGACCTCTACATGGTGCTGTGTACTAGTACTTACCAAACTAGCTTCCATTCTTTAGAAGTTAGCTCCAACCTTCTGATTCAAAATTTTTATTTAAAATTCATTAAAGGGCGCCTGGGTGCTCAGTTGGTTAAGAGACTGCCTTCGGCTCAGGTCATGATCCTGGAGTCCCGGGATCGAGTCCCACATCGGGCTCCCTGCTAGGCAGGGAGTCTGCTTCTCCCTCTGACCCTCCCCCCTCTCGTGTGCTCTCTCTCTCAAATAAATAAATAAAACCTTAAAAAAAATAAAAAATAAAATAAAAGTTCATTAAGTGGGGCACCTGGGTGGCTCAGTCAGGTGGACATCCGCCTTCAGCTCAGGTCATGATCCCGGAGTCCTGGGATCAAGCCCCGAGTAGGGCTCTCTGCTCAGCGGGGAGTCTGCTTCTCCCTCTCCCTGCCACTCCCCCCTGCTTGTGCTCTCTCTCTCCCTTTTTCTTTTTCAAATGGGCAAAATCTTTAAAAAAAAAAAAAAAAGTTCATTAAGTTAGGAGCGCCTGGGTGGTTCAGTCAGTTAAGCGCCCAACTCTTAATTTCAGATCATGATCTCAGGGTCATGGGATGAGCCCTGCATCAGGCTCCGAGCTCAGCTGGCTCAGCGGGAGAGTCTGCTAGTCATTCTCTCCCACTCCCGCTCCCCTTCCCACAGCTCGCACTTGCATGTGCTCTAATAAATAAATAACCTCTTTTTAAAAAAATAAAAGTTCACTACATTAAAAACATGTAAATTAATGTTCAGTTTGTACAATTACCCAAATATAATTATTAAAGCAGATATTCCAGGGACGCCTGGCTGGCTCAGCTGGTAAAGCATGCAACTCTGATCTCAGGGTCATGAGTTCAAGCCCACACTGGGTGTGGAGCCTACTTTTAAAAAAATAATAAAATTTTAAAAAAATTAAGGAAGATATTCTGCTTGCTTGATTGAATGAACGTCTCACAACTGTTTGATTTTTACATACCCAAGGAACTTTTATATACCCCTCCATGTTAAAATTTAATAGACTATAGTATATTTGTTAGCTTATCCTAACACACTAGAAGGGCAAGAAGTGAAAAAATATATATAGATGTTCAATGAATGGGCTAGAAGAGGATAATATAGAAGTGACTGATAAAACATGGTTACTTTCAAAGAGACTATCTCCGGAACAGCCCTAGTACCTAGGAATAGTTCTCACATTTATGCCTGAAAAAAGAATAAAAGGACTGAAAAAATGAATGAAGTTTTAAAAGTTCACAGCAGAACCCTATCACAACCACCAACCACTATTCCCTCTTTTCTGTTAGTCTTAAAACTATGCACCAATTGTCTCTGAACCCTCCAAGCTCCTTAAGGGTTGGGACCAAATTTAATCTACTTAACAAGACTGTTACCCTAGTGTTAGTTATACCACATCCATGCTTTCTTAATATTACTAACGGAAAATCCTCACTGAATACTATTCCTGTCTGCATAAAAATCACTTTGGAGTTTTTTTAAAGTATGTTAGTTCTAAAAAATGCAGACCTAGGTTACCTTAACAAAATGCTCATACTAAGTTATCAAACTAACGATCTTTGCAACCCAATAGTCATATCTTTAAAAATGACACCAAAGGGTCATAATCTCTCTGAGGAATCTATTCAGTAGACTCCTTTTGGGGAACCAGCCCTTCCCCAGTCCATATTAATACCGCTTTGATCCATGTGGGATGGAAAAGTTAAACCAGAATGACTCAGACAAGGCCAATTTAACTAGCCTATTTCCCCTATTTCCCACTATCATAAATGGGCACAAGTCACCCCAATCAGAGACCTCCCAAGGACTTTCACCAGAGATAAAGAGAAAAGCACTCTCTCATTTAAGATCCTGAGTATTAGGGACCACTGTAATCACAGTAGAGCTGCGGGGGACAATGTCTCCCAATACAGGAACAAAGCTCACCTAAATTTAGGGAATCATCACCAACACAAGATGATCTCCAGTGATGTTTAAAGCTAAGGAAGCAGTATTCCTAGACTTTTGAGACACCAGAACAAACTAAGCTGGGCTTCTCTTTGCATCCTAATACAGCCGTTTCTCCTGTGAAACAAGGAGAATTATGTTCCACATACGTACCAAGTAGGCAAAAGAAAATTTTTAACGATAAAGTACTATAAAAATGTTGTCATTCTATTCTAAAAGTACCACAAACAGAACCCTCATTAAATACAGCATGAGCTCAATAAGCATTTGTAAGATAACAAATTCAACTCCCTTATGTGCATACCTGCTTGTGAACAAACTGATTTTAAGCAACTTATCTTGGACGTTCTATCACTGAAGCTTAATTTCAAATAATCTCCGAACCTCTGGAATTCTCCGTCATTTGATTATGATGAACTTAAGATAGCTTATTACAAGTGAAAATTTCAAGTGACGTTTGTTCCAGTGGCCCACTTCTCTCACTTCCCTCAAGCAACTACTATTATGAAATCTAAACCTGGCCAAGAAAGTTTAGCGGTGATGCAAAAATGGGGTAAGGGGGGAGTCTCAGACACCCCAAAGAAGTGAAGAAAATTATTTCCGGGAAAATGTGGCAAGACCGTTCCTCGCAGGTATACGAAGGACTGAGTCCCAGCCGACCAAGGGCTGGGGCGGGCCGGTAGAACGAGTGGGCAGCGTGGGTGGTGGCCTGCGGGGCCGCTCCTGCTCACCAGGAAGGAATGCAGACCACACCTACGCGCCCGGCCAAGCCAGGGCGGGGCGGCCCGGTCCGGCCGTGGGTGCGAGGGAGGGACGCAGGAAAGGCGTAGGAAGAAGCGGGGGAGGCAGGCCGCAGACCACCTCCCCATCGCTCGCCCCCGGGCCCACCTCAGGAGCGTCTCGAGAGCGCCCTCGTGCTTGTCCAGCGGGCGGCCGAGGGCGGCGCGGCGCAGCTTGCTGAGCTCCTCCGCCGCACGGCAGTACTGGGCCTGCTCCTCCCCGCCGCTCGGGTACGTCTGCTGGATGAACTTCACCAGCGGCTTGGCCAGGTCCACCTCCGAGGTCTTTTTCAGCTGTACCGAGATAAACGTCGCCATGGCGAGGACCTCGGCCGCCGTTCGGGCCAAACAGACCGCGGGACGGCGACGAGAGTGGAGGCGCGCGGACTAACCAGCTGGCGGACCGGCGGACCGACGACCCGACGGACTAGCTCTCCGCGGGTGCTCTGGATCCGGCCACTTCCGGGAGCTCTCGCGCAGGCGCGCTCGGCGCGCCGCCTGAAGTCACGTGAGGCAGTCGGGGTGCGGGGGGCCCAGTGCGGCTCGCCTGGGCCAAGCTCCTCTTGGGCTGCGTGGTAAGGAGCTGGCTTTTTTCGCAAATGGAATTCTCCCTTTCCTGCTCACTGCCGTAGCGGGTGGACCGAGCGCTCTCACTAAAAGTAACTATTCCTCCGTCCGAACAACTGGTGAAGTACTGTTACTGCCATCTAGGAGAGTTTTCCGCGACCTGTCCAAGACCTTACAGCCTCAGGGTTATTGTGATCTATGGTAGTTAATTCAACGGATTGCTGTATACAAGGACTGAGTGTACAGTGAGCCTAGTAGGCAAAGTCCCTGCCATTGTGCAGCTTACAGTCAGGTAAGGACACAGATACTAAGGTGGACAAAGCATGCAAACAACAGGGTGCTTGGAATGTAGGATATTTGGGTCCCATGGAAGAACCTGATTTAAACAAGGTAAATAGAGAAGGCGCCTCTGAGAAGGTTAACTTAAAATGACCTGCAGTTTGAGAAGTGCTTGACGTTAGAAGAGTAGCAAGCGAGAGCCTCCCAGACCAAGGGAGTGCAAGTACAAAGGCCCTGGGAGGCAAGCACTTCCCTTTTTCTGGGAGTTGAAGGAAACTGTGGCAAGAACTTAAAAACCACACGGGGAATGAAATGAAATAAAGTTGGAGAAGTAACAAACTGAGTGTTGCTGGAGTGGTGGGGGGTGGGAGGGATGGGGTGGCTGGGTGATAGACATTGGGTAGGGTATGTGCTATGGTGAGCGCTGTGCATCGTGCAAGACTGTTGAATCACAGATCTGTACCTCTGAAACAAATAATGCAACATGTGTTAAAAAAAAAAGAAGAAGATAGCAGGAGGGGAAGAATGAAGGGGAGTAAGTCAGAGGGGGAGACGAACCATGAGAGACCGATGGACTCTGAAAAACAAACAGGGTTCTAGAGGGGAGGGGGGTGGGGGGATGGGTTAGCCTGGTGATGGGTATTAAAGAGGGCACATTCTGCGTGGAGCACTGGGTGTTATGCACAAACAATGAATCATGGAACACTACATCAAAAACTAATGATGTAATGTATGGTGATTAACGTAACAATAAAAAATTTTTAAAAAAAAGTTGGAGGAGTAAGCAGGCATTAATCATTCAGAACCTTATAGGCCAAGTTAGAGAATTTGTATTATAGAATAAATGCAAAGGAGGCGATAAATGGGATTTAAGCAATATTGACATGATAGAATTTACATTTTTAAAAGGCCACCCTGTGCATCAATCTGATATTGTATCTCTTGATGGGATGTAGTATGAAGTATACAATATCATCGATGATGTATTCCAAGCAAAAATGTTTAACTTGAGTCTATCAAACCTTTGCATCCAACACACAATTTATTACAATGCAGGTGGCTCAGTCAGTTAAGCATCTGCCTTCCGCTCTGGTCATGATCCCAGGGTCCTGGGAACAAGCCCCAGCTCGGGCTCCCTGCTTCTCCCTCTCCCTGCTGCTCTCCCTGCTGCTCTCCCTGCTTGTATTCTCCCTCTCTCTCCCTCTCTCCCTCTCTCTGTCAAATAAGTAAAATGTTTTAAAAAGAAGAAGAAATACAGGGGATAGAGGAGCAAATTAAATGATCCATATAAAGTAACCAAACATCCAGGAGGTAGACCATTCTGCAGAGTAACTGGCCCCATCTCTTCAACAATGTATTGTTAGGAAAAAACCCACTGCTAGTATGAAAAGAAATTTAAGGTATACAAGAGTGGATTGAATCCTGGTATGAACAGACCACGTTATAAAATGCATTTTCAGGACAGTTAAATTTCCATATAGAATGAGTGTAAGATAAAAATGTATTGCCATCGAAAAATGGAGATTATTAACTGAAAATAGCAAGTCACAGCACAGTATATATGTTACAGTATCTCACTTTGGTTACAGATGCAAAATATGTGTATTTGTGTACTACAAAAAAAAAAATCTAGGATTATACCATAAGGGTGTTAGCAGCTGTAATCTTTGGAAGTGGAAATATATTTTTTTCTTTATTTTTGTCTACCGTTTTTTTAATAATCGTTGAATTTTGCTAAGTTTTTTAATTAATTTTTTATTGAAGTATAGCTTAAACACAATATTACATTAGTTTCAGGTGTACAATATAATGGTTTGACAAGTCTGCAAATTATGCTATGCTCACCACAAGTGCAGCTACCATCTGTCACCATACAATGCTGTTACAATACCATTGACTCTATCCCCTAGGTTGTACCTTTTATCCCGTGACTTACTCATTCCGTAACTGGAAGCCTGTCTCCCACTCCCCTTCCCCCATTTTGCCCATCCCCCACGCCCCTCACAACCATCAGTTCTCTGTATTTATGGGTTTTGCCTGTCTTTTCTGTGTAATTTTTTTACAGCATATATACTCCTTTTGTTATAAAAGTTTATTTTACCAAATTTTCATTTTTTAATAAAAGATTCTAGGTTAAAATAAAATAGCCACTTGGCTGCTATGTAGAGAATGCATTAAAGAAAGGCAAGGTGGATGGGGCACCTGGGTGGCTCAGTCGTTAAGCGTCTGCCTTCGGCTCAGGTCATGATCCCAGGGTCCTGGGATCGAGCCCCACGTAGGGTTCCCTGCTCAGAGGGAAGCCTGCTTCTCCCTCTCCCACTCTCCCTGCTTGTGTTTCCTCTCTCACTGTGTCTCTCTCTGTCAAATAAATAAATAAAATTTAAAAAAAAAAAAAAAAAGAAAGGCAAGGTGGAACTGAGGCAAGTCATGAGATCATGTCAGAAATCCAGGCAAGAGATCATGAAAGCTAACATTAGCAGGAGTGAGCTAAATTGATGTGGTTTTGAGTTACAAATTGAAGAATTTACTGATAATCAGGATAGGAAGGTGAAGAGAAGGGAGTGATCAAGGAGGCTCCTGGTTTGGGTGCCTGAACTTCTGAATGGCCAGTAGAATCACTTACTGATACGAGGAAAACTGATATATCATCCACTGATGGGGGCAGGGGGTGGGGAGTGTTTGTATCCTGCTATGCAAGTGGAGTCAATAAATTGACAATTGGGGGGCGCCTGGGTGGCTTAGTTGTTAAGCGTCTGCCTTCAGCTCAGGTCATGATCCCGGGGTCCTGGGATCGAGCCCCGCATCAGGCTCCCTGCTCAGCGGGAAGCCTGCTTCTCCCTCTCACACTCCCCCTGCTTGTGTTCCCTCTCTCACTGTCTCTCTCTCTCTGTGTGTGTCAAAATAAATAAATAAAATATTTTAAAAATAAAAAAAATAAATAAATTGACAATTGGGTTTATGGGATTAGAGCTTCAGAGAGAGGTCTTGTTTGGGAATCAGCAGTCAGCGTACAAATTATTTTTAAACCCCTGAGACTATAAAGGAACACAAAGAAATAGAAATAGACCAGAAGCTATCAATTAGGTAAGATAGGATCAGATTAGGTGTATTTTTAAGGCAGAAGATGATGGAGTATCTTGTAGGTTGGTTGACAGAACTGATGTACTGGAGAGAGAATGAAGATTAAGAAGACCCTGAGGAGCAAAGCACATGAAAAGAGGAGAGGAAAGGGTAACCATAACTGGGAGGGTAGAAGGGAGGAATTAACTGTCAAAAAGATGTAGGATAAATCATTTGTTGAAGCAGATGGGGAATGAACATAGATGTGGCTAACTGTATGGCACTGGTCAAGGGAAGATTAAGGTGATCCTGTCTGATGGAACTTAAAATAAAATCCAAACTCCTTACCACAGCATGATCTGTTTCTGCATATCTCTTCAATTTCATATTCTGCCACTTGTTCTCTAAGTCACATTGGTCTTATTTCAGTTTCTCGAATTCACTAAGATCTTTCTTTCCACATGTGACTTAGACTACTTCCCTCCTCACTTTCTTCATATATAAGTTGAAATGTTTCCTCCCCATCATACCATTTAGATTCCCCCCTTGTTAGTATCTAACTCAGCCGTTGTTTATTGCCTTCCAAACACTTAACCTAACTAGCAAGGATTTTTGTGGTTGTTGATTGAATTTTTGTCTGACTTCCCCACTAGAATATAAGCTCTATAAGGCAAAATTGTGTTTTTTTAAATACTGTTATATCCAGCATGATTGGCACTCAGTAAATATTTTTAAATGAGTAAATGGGTTTCACTGCTTGTAAAAAAAATTTTAGATCTCTACTGTCAAAGCAACACACCTTTCTCAATAACAGATACCCTCATTAATTTGGCAATAAGCCAGTATAGTTAGTTAGGCAGTAATCATTAATTAGGCAGTACGGCGGCGCCTGGGTGGCTCAGTCGTTAGGCGTCGCCTTCAGCTCAGGTCATGATCCCAGGGTCCTGGGATCGAGCTCTGCATTGGGCTCCCTGCTCAGTGGGAAACCTGCTTCTCCCTCTCCCATTCCCCCTGCTTGTGTTCCCTCTCTCACTGTGTCTCTCTTCTGTCAAATAAATAAATAAATAAAATCTTTAAAAAAATAGTAATAATAACTAGGCAATAGCTCAGTGGCCAAAGAAGGATGGCATATTAGGATAGGCTAGCTTTGTGTTCTGATAATCAACAATTTCAAAATCTCAGTATCTTAACATAGTAAACATTTGTCCCTTATGCACACAAAGTCTTATATAAGACAGACAGCTAATTATCTCAACCTGAGATGCCACTTTCAAAGGGGAATAGGAAATCTATGTCATCACGCAGCAGCTCTTCACTGCCTCAGCCTTCACTTCCACTTGCATTCCACTGGCTAGAACCTCTCATTTGGCCCCATCAAACTACAGTAGGACTGGGAAGGGTAATCTTCGTGCCCAGGAAGAAGGGGTGGGCTGGATATTAAGGCACACCAGTGATGCATTCCAAGGATGAGTTTCACTGCTTCCAGACTTACTTAGTGGTAACATTGATTTTCCATCTGTGTAATCAAACTCC